CCACAGTGAGCTGGACTATGACATCGCATTGGTTAAAGCTGCCACGGACATCCAAACCAGTAACTTCATCCGCTATGCCTGCCTGCCGCGCAAGCAGATCAACCTTAAACCAGGGCACTACTGTTGGGTGACTGGCTGGGGTGACACACGAGGTAAAATCTGCATTATACGCCTTTGACCTTCATGTATTAAAATTAGAATCTTTTGTGAACGCTGGGTCTTGAAATATGATGGCTGGATTATTTATGAAAACATCGGCTCATAGATCAAATGTAAAGAGTGTACAGTAACGCCTTACCCCACTGCAGTTTCTACTGGTTTATTTTACCTCCATGAGGCAAAAACAAATAGTATTTTTATGTTTTATTGATATCAAGTTTACTAAGGGAGGTGATCCACTTATCCCACTTAGAATATGGGTTTGGCATCTCTTCTTCCTCTGTAAATCTTAGGTGGAAATGAAAATGTGTCACTTGCTGAGGCTCTGAACCAAGCTCGGCTCCCAATCATTGACTATATGACCTGTCGGCAGAAGAAGTTCTGGGGTGACCGCGTGAGAGACTCCATGATTTGTGCTGGCTTCCGAGATACAGAGGGGACCCCAGCCGCATGCCAAGTGAGAAGACCGTTTTATGGGAAAATTCATCAAGGTGTCCCTTCTTCAACTCTATTCATCTACCTTCTGTGTGGCTCTTCTTCTTGTAGGGTGACTCTGGTGGCCCTCTGCTGTGCCAGGTGGGGCGTGACCGCTGGGAGGTCCGCGGCATCGTGAGCTTCGGTCCTATCGGATGCACAGTGGAGAACAAGCCCAGCGTCTTCACTCGCACCGCAGCCTACATCCCATGGATAGAGGCCACACGCATCAGGGACTTCTTCTTGCACTAAGTTCCAACCTCAAAGAATTCCTTGTCCACATTTGTAGGCAAAGGAAGAGTCATTATTTCAAGATTTAGTGCCATGTCCTGGGTCTGGGTCCGGCCCATGGACCTGCTCATCCATTTGTGGTCCGTGCGCTGGAAGCTGGTGTATAGCATCACAACCACCAGCCACCAAGTTAGGGTAGTTTGCTCCGGTTTATGGGTCATTTCTCCGCTATGCATGTGAGATGGGCTTTGCTGTAGAATATGAACTGCAAAGTTTTAACTGCTTTCAGCTAAATCTCACTGATCTCCACCTTGTGTTCGACAAGCCAAGCAACATCTGTAAAAGTCCTGGCTATTCAACATTACACTCATCAGTTCAGTTGGCCTTGTTTTTTTCTGTAGAGGACTGGCACATACATTTGCCCTTTCATGGGCAGTCCAACGTTCAGTTCTTAAGGTGCTTTGACGGTCAGCATCAAGTAGTGATAGGAAATTTCACCTGTTGTGGGAGACAGTCTCC